ATATATATCGTTCGCGAGAGTATTTAATTAAGCCACGGCTTATTTAGGCGCCGGCCTATTTTCGCTCGCATAAATGGCCTTATATTGTATTCAAATATCAAATGACTTCAAAATAATGCTCCTATAAAACTAATTTCACAGCCAAAAAATTTTATAAAAGTGTTAAAATCCCATGTAAAATTTCATGTAAGAGCTAGAGAGCAGGTGAAATTTTCTCATTCAAAAATTTATGAACTCATAACATGCATGGCATGGGAAGAACAGCTTAACTACATATTACATAAAGAAGAAATAACATTTAGTACAATAAATTAAAAAAGAAGACTGTTTAACTGTTAAACGTGTTTCGCTCTATACGCGTGTCGTTTAGTACTATATATGTATGTCATTGTCATATAATTAAGACCTGATTATTAAACGCTCGTTGAATTATCACGTGCCGAATCTGATGTAAACGTTTGAGCTCATTTGCATTGAGTCCGTAGCCCGAAGTATCAGGCTCTATTTTACAAATCTATTTTACAAATCGTGCAATAGAAGGCAATGCAATGAAGCCCAGTGTTGTAACGAGTCGAGTCATTGACTCTGACTCGAGTCAACTCGAGTCGCTATTTTCAGCGACTCGACTCGAGTCCAATACGAAAAATGACTCGACTCGACTCGAGTCAACAGCCCCAAATGACTCGACTCGGACTCAACTTGCTGATTTTGCCGTAAATGACTCGAGTCAACTCAGCCACAACTTGTACAGAGTAAATTCATTACAATTATTGTGATTGTATTGCTTGGGAAGAACAATGAGCCCTGTAAACAATGAGAACTTTGAAACTTTATCAGAAAATATATGGGATTTGCATAGAATATATTCCTGACGGGCATACCTATATTACATTTCTGTTTTTAGAAACAACGCTAGTGCCACAGTTTTTTAAAATTAAGTCTCAAAATTTTTTGTACTTATACTAATTCTGACAGGCTATTTTCATTTTTGGTATTTATGAAGGGCTATATAATTTCAAATCAACTTACAAAGCGTTGTTAATTAAAGTCTATTCTTTGTTAATTCTGACTCCAGTTGCAAGTTTTGCTAGTTGTATGTACGTACACTCGATCAGCAGGTATGATGAGACATCTCACGTGGTTGTACCTAATATTGACTGGAACTGTGACATTGGCACAGCCTATAGCTGCCCAGATACTGTTATTAATTTAAATGACTAAAGTAATTGGTTTAAAACGCAAATTTGATTACTAATTTCCGACAGCAAGCTAGGGTAGCTCAAGTAAAGTCTAGAAATTTACTCGACTCGACTTAAATCAGTGACTCGACTTGACTCGAGTGAAGCCGCTGACTCGACTCGACTCGAGTGAAGCCACTGACTCGACTCGACTCGACTCGATCAAAAACTGAAATGACTCGACTCGACTCGTGACTCGACCTTTGAGTGACTCGACTCGTGACTCGACCTGTAGGTGACTCGTTACAACACTGATCAAGCCATTTCCAAATTACGATGGAATGCCCATAAGCAAGGCATGTGCTAAAACCTGGACGATGGCCAATTTTTATTTACAGTCAAAACACTAAAACCCACACATTTCTGCTCTTGTACTTTACTACTTTGTTGTCATTTATTGTATATTTCGTTGTGTATTAATAATAATGCTAATATTGCAATATTTGTAACAAAGAATGGCTTTTCCGTAAGATTTACTGCATAAAGTAGCAATATTTAACTTTCAACAGGCCGCGATAAAAGTGGAATGTTGAGAATATAATTGTAAGGGGTTAGGGTGAAACGCGGATGCGGACGGACAGACGGATGAGAGGGTAAAATGCGGACGGATGAGAGGGTAAAATGCAGACGGATGGGAGGGTAAAATGCAGACGGATGGGAGAATAAAATGCGGACGGATGGGACTGTAAAATGCGGACGGATGGGAGGGTAAAATGTGGACGGATGGATGGGTAAAATGCGGACGGACGGATGGGAGGGTAAAATGCGGATATGAAGGTATATCGTGTGCTGTTTGTGTTTTTCATGCAGAATTAAACCCTATGGATCCTTGCCACTTTCATAAATAATTTTATAATTTAATAATATTCCACTGTGATATGCTATTTTTGAAGGTCTTTTCAATGCAGTTATCCGTTTAACATCCGTTTTCAACAAAATGATCAGTTTAAATATACCAAAAATTGTCGCGGAAAAATAGCAATTTCCTTACGGCCTACTTTTACGCAAACGCGAATACAATTGCCACTTTCATAATTAATTTTCTCTGTTCTCCGCCTCGATGTAGTAATCTAATGCTATTCCAATGGAATGTGGTATTTTTGAATAGTTTTTGAATGTGAACTTTCACTATCGGTTTGAATATACCTGAAATCGTTTGTTATGAAGTTTGACACTTTAGTACATTAATTTCGTTATGTTTGGGATTTTAAATTGATTGGAAATTAATCATGAAAGTGCCAATTGTAATTCGCGTTTGCGTAAAAGTAAGCCGTACGGAAATTGTCATTTGTCATATCTTAACGAGAATTTTAGGTATATTTAAATTGATAACTGCGTTGAAAAGCCTTTGAAAAACAGCACATTACATTGGGCAGGCATAAAATTAGATTACTACATACCCAAATAACAGAGAAAATTAAGCATGAAAGTTGCGATTGTAATTTGCGTTTGCGTAAAAGTAGATCGACCGTACGGAAATTGCCATTTTTCCGCGACAATTTTTGGTATATTTAAACTATTTTCAACGTAAACCCGTAGACATATTTAAACAGATAACTGCATTGGAAAGACGGATGACAAAGAAACATTCATGAAAGTGGCAAGGATTTAATTCTGCACGAAAATACAAATACCACTCGATATACCTTCATGTCCGCATGTTACCCTCTTATCCGTCCACATCCGCGTTTTACCCTAACCCGCAAATAAACCTGGCCTTATACTAGTGACCTTACCATTAACCTGCGATCAGGCTCTATTTTACAAATAATAGCCTGACACAATCCTTAATCCGATCGCTTTCCACCCACAGCAAAGTTTATATTTAGTATCCAATCAAAATGTCGCAGCAGAAATTTAAATTTCACAACGATAACAACAATCTAATTATAGTTGTGATCACTATAAATATATCAACGACAATATATAATGTAATTAGCACCAACCAATCAAATGACAGATTAAAAAATCTTTTGTCTTATAAACCAATCAGATTTACAACCGAAATACGGTTGTAAAAAAAAAATGGACTTTTGTTAAGATCTGTATCAGGCCTATTTATTTATTTATTTATAGGCCTGATCGCAGGTTACCTTACCATAGACCTTATACTTACTTTAATTTGATTGACAGTTCTTTAAATAGAAATTATACAATCTTTAATTAATCAATGTTACAATTTTAAACTTTGCATTTTATCGCGGCCTGTTGAAAGTTTTTATATTGCTATTATGCAGTGAATCTTATGGAAAAGCTATTCTTTGTTACAAATAATGCAATATTAGCATTATTAATACACAACAAAATATACAATAAATGACAACAAAGTACAAGAGTGGAAGTGTGCGGGTTTTAGTGTTTTGACTGTAAATAAAAATTGTCCATCGTCCATCGGCATCGTCCATCGGCATCGTCCATCGTCCAGGTTTTAGCACATGCCCATAAACAATGGCCTGAGAACAAGGCTCCGTTCTAATTGTAACGTTCCTACAGCAAATTAGAACTGGCATCGACTTGTTGATGTTCTACTGAACTAATGTGTAATTCGGAAATGGTCTACTAATTTACAGTCTGTTATGTTTTCGTGTCAAAACATTCAAGAATGCGACTACATTCCTACGTGTATAGGCTATTATTGTTAAAATGTGAAACTATGTTTAGCTTCTCTATATTTCTCGCGGACCATGCAATCAGACGTCGCCACTCCTACATATCGCTTTCATGACGTTAGGAACGTGGTCGCATTCCTGAATGTTTTCACGGGAAAACATCGCACTTTTTCCAGCGAGAGAAAGGATCCACACTTAGAGATCGACACTTAGAGAACAGAACGGTACCACCGCAACTTTTTTCCGAGCACTGTGGCTATTTTTAATGACAGTAGCAACATTTAAATACAGATTTTATATAAGTACAAAGTAACGTTTTAATATATTTTAACTCTTTAATCCTTATTATTGTTAATATAGAAATTAAATACTTAGTTGTAAATTCACCACAATTCAAATTTATGCGATGGTGAATATTCTTAAACATGAATAATAATAATAATAATAATATATGAGCAGGGCCCGCGGAGCGTATTAGAGAGTGGGGGGCTAAAGGGTGAGGTTTAATTAATTTAGAAAGTTTCATTTAGATTTCTATTTTAATAATTTTGGCTTTCAAAAAAAGTGGGGGGGGCTAAAGCCCCCCCAGCCCCCCCCCCCGTCTCCGCGGTCCCTGATGAGGCCGGTTCTTTAGGCTTCTTGTGCACAAAAGCTTGAACGAATTAACAACCTCTGGAAGTGATGTAGTTCAGATTGATGTCGAATCGTCTCAGCTCGTTCTTGCTTGTCCACGCTTGGCCCGATACGGCCCTGAATTGACTTCGGATCGATTTAAATCGCCAGTCTGAACGGCCCCTTCGAGTCTCTCCAGGTGTCGGTTGTGTTATGTCATCTTACGCGTGCTAAACCAAAGCTGCGTCGTAGAATTTTCATTCTGTATACAACGATGCACTCTTTTAACACAATAATCAATAGAATAATGAAAACTGCCAAAATACTCGTAAGTGTAGCCGGAACAAGACACTGCGTTGAACATACATGAAGTAGAATTGCTATTTTCAAAAAGCACATGCAAGGGCCAGTCCGCAAACTGACAAAGCTGAATTTTACAATAATTTAAATCATATTCTCCAATTTTACCAATTTTACCACGCCCATTGCGAACAACAGCATAGGATGTATATCCACTGAGTTCAAGTACATCAACGTTGTTTCATCCGACTATGGTTTTAAGATTTTGAAGCTCAAGTTGAACGAAGTCGGATTGGTTTAAATCAATTGCAATGTCTTTGTCATAATCACATGTGAACTGAAGGAAAGTTGAATTACTTTTGATAGATTCCATTCTTGCTTTGCTAAGTCGATAGCCGCTCCATGTTAGAGCATTTTCACTGATAGGACGGTTATTAGATAAAGATTTTTTGAAATGATCAAGAGATCTATTTGCAAAACTGTAAGACTGCACCAAAGTCCAAGCACTTTCAGAATCAAAATGACAGTATACTGAATACAACAAGCCTACAATAGAATCCACTGCTTTGTACATGCCCGATTTCCGGGAACCTTTGGCATATCCTTGGCATGACGTGATTGGTTGGTCACAGTTGTCTCCATGGTAACCATCCGGACATGCGCAGGTAAAACGTTTCCAAGGCTGTTCTTGGGAGTTGACTGGTTTGCATATTTTGTTCTCCAGACAGATACCTGATTGTTGACAACAATTGTACTTCATTGGACAATTCATGCTTGAACATTGCCCTTCCAATTTCTAAGAAAATAAAATGTAATATTGTGAATATACTAATACCAAAATGTCGGGATGTATGCATGACAGGAAGCACATTAAAATATCTCTAAAAATATGAGAATTGTAAATGTTTACTTTCACTCTTCAAATTTACCTAGTTATACATGTATTACCTGAAACGTTTCTGTCAAATCTCGCATTTCGTACATAGCATAGACGCAGTCATCTTTGTCATGAAGCAATGAACTGTTCCCTTTCTTGTGACTTGAACACAGTTGACATTTTGTCTTGTCACAAATTTGGAACGACTGACACCGACAGTTCTCCAAACAGTGCTTCAGACAATCTGCTATATTTCCATTTCCAATGTTAAACGTCTCAATGAGACATGATTTGTCAAATTCTTTGTTTTTCTCTGCTTTTATGATGAATTGTGGTCGATTGTTGAACATTGATGCGTTGCTGTAAGGCAGTGTTGCCAAAACGATGGCGGCTAGACTATAAAATAGAAACTTTTTGGGTTAGATTACGTTATTGCTACTTATTTCTTAACTAACAGATAAATTTACTGCATGTATGTCCCCTTTTTAGTACTATATACCATGCACTCTGCGAAAAAATAAAGCTATCCACTAGCTATATATAGACAAATTTGTCTAACGCTTGTTTATAACCAATTCAAACCTTTAGATAATTCACAGGCCTGCACTTATACTACCGCGATGATTATACTGTATATACGCGCGACTATACCAAAATTTATGCGCTCGTACATATAAACATTTTATAACCATGACTCAACGTCATAGGCCGATCGAAATCCTACCTCAAAAGTCTTTGTGACATTTTCCTTCGAGATAATTCTTGCTTAAACTTGATATTCAAAAACTTAGTAAAAAGGGTCGTTGCCTTTGCTCCATGCAGTTGTTTTGCTTTGCTAAGTTAAACCAACCATATATGAACTAACTAATATAGAATTTTGCCTTAATGAACCGATTATTTCCTTGATGAGCTCATGCAAGTCTGTTAAATAGCTGTGCTTAAACTCAATGTGATTGGCTGATTTCTTGTCACGTGCATGGATTTACATCAATGCAATGTATCCCGCCGGTCAACAAATTAAAAATTGTTGCCCACTTCATTTAGCAGCCTTTTTTATTTTCAAAGTTTTATTAATGAAATATAATGGGAAGGAAATAGTCAGTTTGTTTACTTTTTTTTCTTCATCGCGGGAAACATTGAAACTCTCGGGAATTAAAACAAACCATTTCCCTCTTATGGAGCTGACATCAAGGCTATACGTCCACACTGTTCCGAATCCCTTCGTTTTTGATATTTCAAAAACGCATACAAATATATGAGTCATGCACACTAGCATTTTCGGATCACTTTTTACCGCCTTCACTAGCACTTAGAAAGATAAATTTTTATTTTCGATCTTTATCTTTTTATTTTCGATCTTTATTTATGCAAAGGTCATGGAAAGTTTTGACAAAAAATAGGCAAATTAATTGAGGTTGAAAATAGTTTTGTAGTGGCATTGCAATCTCAGAGATAAATTAAAAATAACCTGGGACATAATGTAGGGCATTATGTGGTCTTTGCAAGCTATTGCTTGCAGATTAATCATCAATATATCCAGTGCGAGCCAAGTAATTGAGTTGAAATTACTAGAAACAGCACGTATGCATTGCTCTTAATCACTCGCCACGCATGATTAATGTGCTCATGACGTCAGCGTCAACCTTTTCGAAAAGCTCCGTTTTCACTGACGAAGGTATCCGTTTTCTAACGTATTAGTGTGGACGATTGGCGAAAAATCGCATAAAAAAGGTGCGTTTTCAAACGAAAAAGGATTAGTATGGAAGGAGCCAAAGTATATATTAGTATGGAAGGAGCCAAAGTATATATATATATATATATATATATATATATATATATATATATATATATATATATATATATATATATATATATATATATATATATTATATATATTTAATTATTTAAATAAAGTACAAAACAAACGTTGTTACTCAGAGTTTCATGCCTGAGTTTACAGACAATCTTCGGACAACTAAAGTTCTGTTAACTAAATTTGACGGTTTGGTTTGGTTTGCTTGCGCGTGCATGATTGCGCACGTTGTTTGATTGCACGCGAATGTATTTTCCCGCCAGAAATTGTTTTTGGTGGACGCAATTCGAGAATATTTCACTTCTTTTGTTGAGTAGCGAGTTCTTTTTAAATTTCATGATGAAAAGTTTTTCGTCGCTACACAAATTGCACTGATTACGTCCCGATCCGTATGCACTCGAATGTTTTAAAATTGTCCATTTAATTTTGTATGGGCGATTGCTTTTCTTCAAACTCCAAATGTACTTCGACAGTTCAGTGTCGTTAGCATACGTAGCGATGTTGAAAGATTTCTGGTGGTTCCTAAAACGCTCCTTGAAGGTTGTAGCCGTAATTCCAATATAGTGCCTTGTTTCTCCGTTGTCCTCCGCTGCGATCTTTGCATGGTAGACAATGCCTTTGGTTAAGCATTTCTTGTTGAGAGGACACGTATTCTTATCTCTGCAATTGCATGTTTTGTTGGTGTGTGGCACTGTTGGTGTTGGTTTTAATGGTGGTGTTGGCGTTAACGTTGGTGATGGGCGAGATGGTGATGGGGGAGGTGGTACTGGTGATGGCGCTTTTGAAAGGATCTTATTGTTATGGCTGGATATCACGGATTTCACGTTTTTCAGGCAACTATAGCTCACTTTGATGGTATTCCTGTTGAAAATTTTGTTGAGGGCGGATGACTTAGGGAAGTGAATATCTACGAGGTGTAGAAAATCTGTGTCAATTAATAAAAGAATCTCCCGACTCTCTTCCGACAAACAAGCATTCGACTCATCGGCGCCTCTATACGAACAAGCCCTCCATCACAGCAACTACCAAAGCAAGTTACACTATCAAAATCATAACACCCATAACACACCAAAAAGAAACCGAAAAAGGAATATCACCTGGTTCAATCCGCCGTACAGTAAAAACGTGAGATCCAACATTGGTAAAGATTTTCTACACCTCGTAGATATTCACTTCCCTAAGTCATCCGCCCTAAACAAAATTTTCAACAGGAATACCATCAAAGTGAGCTATAGTTGCCTGAAAAACGTGAAATCCGTGATATCCAGCCATAACAATAAGATCCTTCCAAAAGCGCCATCACCAGTACCACCTCTCCCATCACCATCTCGCCCATCACCAACGTTAACGCCAACACCACCATTAAAACCAACAGCAACACCAGTACCACACACCAACAAAACATGCAATTGCAGAGATAAGAATACGTGTCCTCTCAACAAGAAATGCTTAACCAAAGGCATTGTCTACCATGCAAAGATCGCAGCGGAGGACAACGGAGAAACAAGACACTATATTGGAATTACGGCTACAACTTTCAAGGAGCGTTTTAGGAACCACCAGAAATCATTCAACATCGCTCCGTATGCTAACGACACTGAACTGTGGAAGTACATATGGAGTTTGAAGAAAAGCAATCGCCCATACAAAATTAAATGGACAATTTTAAAACATTCGAGTGCATACGGATCGGGACGTAATCAGTGCAATTTGTGTAGCGACGAAAAACTTTTCATCATGAAATTTAAAAAGAACTCGCTGCTCAACAAAAGAAGTAAAATATTCTCGAATTGCGTCCACCAAAAACAATTTCTGGCGGGAAAATACATTCGCGTGCAATCAAACAACGTGCGCAATCATGCACGCGCAAGCAAACAAAACCAAACCGTCAAATTTAGTTAACAGAACTTTAGTTGTCCGAAGATTGTCTGTAAACTCAGGCATGAAACTCTGAGTAACAACGTTTGTTTTGTACTTTATTTAAAGACTTAAATATATTTAGCTCTACAATAAAGTATTGAGCACTCTATATTATATCAAGAAGACTTGAATTGTTATATATATATATATATATATATATATATATATATATATATATATATATATATATATATATATATATATATATATATATATAAATATCACTAGCCTCCCAAAAAACTTCATTTATATAAAGCTTCAAATTGAAAATAAATTTTATTAAACTTCAAATAAATAAATACATGTTGTAAAGATAAAGATACGTTTCGAGGCACAGCCCCTTTGAAGCTTTATATATATATATATATATATATATATATATATATATATATATATATATATATATATATATATATATATATATATATATATATATATATATCTTTCATGGACCCATTATGAACATATTAAATATTACTGCATTTATTGTCAAAATTCGAGAAGTATTAATGAAAAATCACACACGCGTGTTTGGAGGAACATTTGTGTTAACATACATATTCAAGGAACCGCAGAGGTAGTACGCGCTTTTGGGATAAATTTTAGAGTAATTGTTTTCATTAATATACAAATCTGACCTGTAAAATCGCAAATAATTTTATTTCATCTTTGTCTTCTTTACTTGAAAGAAATTAAGAGCTCAGTGCATAATAATTAAGAGCCCAGAAAATATAGATTTACGTTGTTGATTTAAATTATATTTTGCACTCACATGAATGGGCGTCAAGAATTCTGGTAGGCCCGGATGCGTTCCGATTAAACGATAACAATTAATCTGTACAGTCTTATATATACAACAAAATCCAAACTTCTTAGCAAGCAAAATATTCTTGTTTTAAACAAGACATGGCTTGAAATAAGATATCAAGTAAACTTTGTCTTACCAAGCAAAAGAGTTTACTTAAAGCAAGTACATATGAAGTTGCTAAGAACGACGTGGAAATTTGTTACTTGCCAAAAATAATAATTTACTTAAAACAAGCATAAATTCACCAACCGAAAAAAAACTTGGGATTTGAAATGAGAAATCAAGTAATTTTCCACTTACCAAGAATGATAATTTACTTAGAACAAGCATAAATTCACATACTATAAGAAAACTTTGGCACTTGAAATGAAAAAGAAAGTAAATTTTCACTTACCTGTTTACTTAAAATAAAATTAAATTCACTCACCAAGAAGATCTCATCGTTACTTAAAGTGCCTGACTTGTGGGATCTTTACGGATTTGAAAAGAGCAGAAAAAGTTAGTTCATAAATTCTAGAACCTTTTTGGATTTGTATAGGTAATCGCATGAGGCCGAGTAAAATTAAGATTTAATTTCACGCGTGTTTTCAAAGTTTCACAAATTGCCCGAGTCGCAAAATCCTGTGATCCAGTCAAGTTCTTGAATCTCCATGCCTTCACCGTTTCGCCGATGTTTCTTAATGCTGCCCTGCATGCCTGCCAATTTCTTAAATACTTCAACCAATAAATTTGTACTTTTTCTAGTTTTCAAGTTTTCACTAGAAGTTTTTAATGCTTCAATAACATCATTATCCGCGACAACAAAGCGA